CTCTATTTGCTCGTCAAGAAGTGATAAACCACGGCAGAGTTTTTGTGCAAGCGAGACAAAATGTACTTGACCTTTGGAGATCATTGAGGTTGCGCAAAAGATCTGAGGTGTCGTTGGCCTTCCCCCCCCCACTCTTGGCATACAGCGTAATTGTGTTGGATTAGTTGTCCTGTTGGCGCATTCGAACAACCCGTGATATGCGCACCCACACTTGCGTCCTCGTCTTCTCTGTCGGTGACAAAATCTAACCTTCCGCCATGTTTTTGGAGCGCTGTGGACGGTCTATTGTTCTGCATTTTATCGTCAACAAATCAAAGGGCAAGACCCAGAAGTTACTCATTTCCTTACGCTCTGCGTGCGCCTTTTCAATCGCATTTTTATTTTGTGCTCAGTATGGAAGTACTGGATGAAATATAAAAGGAAACAATGTTTTATATTGTTCATTATGAAATGATTTCCGTCGAAAACGGGACGGGCAAAGCCACGCGTGCAGTTGTGTGTCAACGCGTGAGGTCGGCTGGCCTCGGGGGTCACCTCTGACCGCCAGGTGGCGCGATCTTGGGTCCTTGTATCGGCCACCCCGCTTGCCAAGATGTCAGCGACGGCCGAGAATGCGCCACCGGCGTTCCTGGAGCGCGCGCCAAACGGACCATCGAGCGCATTTGCTGCCTGCCTCCTGATTTGTTTGGTTCGGGCAGCGTCCCAGTGGCTGCGAGGGCGTCCCCCGGGTGTCCCGCAGAGCTAGCGCAGGTCCGTTTGGAATGGATCCTGCTTTTCAGAACCGCAAATAGCCATTTTTTTCTTGACGCCCTTGCTACTATTTTGAGCCTTTTCACCACGAAAATCTTCCCACGTGTCTAAAATCTCCTTTTGTGAAAACGGCGAGCAAATCAGACGTATGCTGGTCATTTGGAGACACGGATATGGTCAGACGGGGGGTGGGTAGGGAAAAAACTTGAGATCTTGCTCCAAGTGGAGGTGTTGAAGTATCTCGGGGTCTTGTTCACCAGCGAGGGAGCAGGAGACGGACAGAGCGAAGTGAAGAACGAGCCCAGCCGGAAGGCCAAGCTCTCGATTTAGCGGTCCATCTCCGTCGCCGGCCCTCACCTGCGGTCACCGGCTGCGGGTCCTGGCCCAAAGAGCGAGGTACGAGCGGTCAAAATGCCTTTCCGCTCCCTTCAATGGTAAGGTGAGAAGCTCGCTCATCTGCTGAGGTGTTTTTTTTTTTTTTTCTTTTCCCCCCCTCACTGGTAGGACCTGTCAATCAGCATTGATGAAGCCCCTCCCCCCTCCCCAAGTGGCCCCCTCCCATGATGCATCGCAATGTGGTTTGATTCCAGAAGCGACTGTACGCAGTGTTTAGTGACCCGAAAGCTGCATTCAAGCTCCTCATTGGCAACGGGAAGGGCAATCCCTGTTCCTGGGCGCTAATCATTTGCTACGATGTCAACGAAACGAGTGCAAAGCAATCAAGCAAGGAAAGGCGCACATTCCAACTGTGGCAAAATGACACGCGTTTGCTCCTGGGCTTTTTTAGTCGTACCGGTCGAAATGGATCAGCGGGCGGCGGCAACAACAACGCGAGCTATGACTAATCCGCTCGGTGAATAAGCAGAGAGCAGATCATTGCGGCGTTGCCGTGCAGCATTTCACCAGGTACCGCGCAAGGTCACCTCAGTCAACTCGTATCAATGAAATCCTCCCCAGAGCGGAGGACATCGGCACGGGTGTGACTCGGAAGATTTTTTTTTTTTTTGTTCTTGTTGTCGGTTTTTACAGGTCTTGAAATATAAGACTCGCCATATTGCGCCAAATGATTTCCATCTCATCAGGATTGTTCGATTTGTGTTGGCATCCAAATGGAATAGTCAACACCGCTGATGTTTTTTTCCAAACTGATGAGTCACACACGCAGGTCTAAAAGCAAGAAAATTATGTAATGCGCATGTCAGATGCATGACTCAGAAACTCAGCCCAACTGTGAAGGAAATGGTGTCGAGGCCGCCATTCTCCATCCAAACTGCCACTTTGTCCTTGATATTTTAGCATCGGCTGAAAACGACGAAATAAATGCGCTCTGATCCAAATTAGCCGAGCCTGTAGTTGCAAACGCGGATCATTTTCAACTTGAGGAAATCTTTCCACGACCTTTCAAGGCTATTTTGGGGGAAGGAGGGGGAGGGGGGGCGGCGGGGTCGAAACACTTGCCCTCCAAATCCTCATTTTCAGCAGATCTGGCATGCCGCATCTCAGGTACTCTGCCTCGAGGTTATTTGAGGGCACGTACCAACAGCCTTGCTTTGGTACCCCTGGTCCAGTTTGGCCATTTTTATTTTTATTTTATTAATGTCTGCCGTAGCGGGTTGACGGCTGCATTGGGGCGCAGCGCTTTTGGCATAGAAACGGCCGCCCGCACGCCTTCCTCGCTATGCCTGATTTTACCGCTGCTCGTCCAGGCCACCGGCTCGTATGTTTTTGAGACGATATGGAAAGAGGAATAAATAATGTTTCAATCACTTCCACCTGACTAAGTGGAAACGGATCAATGTCGCTTTTTGCGAAAGTTTTGAAATGATTGAACTCGGCCTCTTCTTTTTGCCGTCCCCAAAAGGCGGCATGGGAGCAGGGCCGCGTAAGACTTTTCGTCGATGGTCCTAAATCGATGGAATCGTCCTTTGACGAAAAGCCACTTTTTCTCGTCTCCCTTTTTTCCGTGCGCCTCCTTAAGCTGCGGCGTGTCCCGCGGTTAATCCACCCATTGTCTGGTTGCTATTTTTTGCTCGCCAATCCGCAGAAATGTGAACCTCTGGCCAACTTGTCAACATGCGACAGCAGCGACTATCAAAGTGCGCGAGAGGCATCGTGCTTTGCTCGCCATTGGGACATCTTTCTCTCTCTGCGGGATATGAAGAGTCCTGTCGGCCACCGCGTTGGGCCCTATTTTCAGATAACTGCGCTACCTCAGAGTGCCTCGCTCTGACTAAATGTCTCATGTTCCCGCCGCTTCCTTTTTTTTTTTTTCTCCCCCCCCCTCCCCCTCTCATTTGGCTGGCGAAACAGTGAATGCCCCACCCTGCGGTCTGAAGTTCTGCTCTCCCTCCTCTTGTCAAGATGCCAGCTCTTCAAGGAAGAGATTTTCCTCTTTCTGCTCTGAAAACACAGGGCCGACGCTCCTCCCCTCTGCCCCCCCCCCCCCCCCCCCCCCCCCCCCCCCCCCGCGCCCCCCCAACCCTGCGGGCCAC